AGTGTATAATGAGAAATGTAAATGCACCATAATCTTAATTAGGTACATTTGTAGCACTTCGGCAATGTGCACAACACAATGTACCTAAGTTCATTAAACTTGCATTATGCTGTTGACAGCCTAATAACATTTAGGTAATTAGTTCGCACTTTATGTGATAATGGCTTGCACTCGCCGAGAGTGCAGTCATTACGTTTGCAAATGAACTCTTAAAAGCGTTAGTTAGAAGGGGCTAAGTAAGCTTAGTGTTAATTTTAATCTATTTGTGGTATTTAGTACGTAAAGGTTAATTTAATTCTGATGTTTTAGGTATGTTGAGAACTGATATTTTATGAACCATGTAGGCTATAAATTGCTTTGTAGGTACCGTTCGTTTTCGTTAAGTACCTACCTAAGAATTTCTATGAATTCATTTTTTAATCATATACTTACTCAGGGGTGGGTCTACCTAAGGGCTTTAAAGGGCCCCGGGGATACAGAGGGCCCCAGAAAATAATAAATGATCATTATTTATTTACATCATGATATTCTACTTGTATAAAAAATAATGAAAACTCCTATTTTACTAACCAAGCTATTTCGTGAGCAAAAAAAGCTCTTTCGTTTGATTTCCATGGTAGAGATAGTTGTAAAAAAATAGTTTATATTATAAAGTCATCAAGATTAAAAGTATGTACCATATATAAGATCGATCTATCGTCAAGAAGATCGTTTTCAATTAAATAAGACCCAAACAAACGGTAGAAACTAAATAAAACCGTTTCACGTTTTAGTTTTTTACCAAATTGATACACATTAAAAAATAACGTTGCCTATCACCAGCTGCGAAGCGAAGCGCTTTTCTCTAGGCTTTTTATTTATAGTCGACGTTTGTGGCTACTCATGTCAGTTAGCGATGATGCGACCTATGATGGAGCACGCCTGCTCGTAAGCAACCTATGCACTCGAAGACACCTAGGTTCCCCTTGGGGAACACAGGTTTAGGCAACGAATTTTATTCTTTAGCGACTCGCACAAGGGAGCTTGAACCAAAACCCTTCCTACGATTGGGTGAGATATCCACCATGAATGATTGTCTTGTGGTACGATGATGGAAGGATTAGGGGGAAGCTAAGCTGTCTAATTCCCTTGCACATTCACGAAAATTAATTAGGCGAAATATCGAAAGGCTTAAGCAGGTCGTCTATATGCAGCAAATTGGGCAGACGAGCAATCATCCGACCAACCGATCCCTCAGGAAGGTAAGGCAGACAGGTTTGCCTTCTCTACCGCGTCCCGTCAAATCTCAGAAGTGGTGGAAGTCAGGGGTGACAAGTGTACTATTTGACCACCTGAGCCAGGGTCCAAAACGCTTTACCACGCTGGGTAGGAAGTTAGTTTATTATCTATTTAGCAAATGTGATTAAACCGAGCTATCCCGATTACCTTTTTGCATGACGTGGCAGGCTGGTTAAAGGTTTCTCCTATTTTGATGATCTCATCAAAAGAGGAGCCAGCCGTCTAGTATCCGTCCATGCCAAGTATATCGCGTGCTTTTTCGCCTCGAGGCATCTGCAATCGGCATCGAACCATGGACCACCGAAAGTTGCTACGCCCGAAAATAGAATTTACCCGTTACAGCATCCGTACAAACTGACGGGTCATCAGAAGAGAAAAAATAGGGCGCAAAAAGATCGCATCCCATCCCAATCTGTTGATATGTATCGCAACATCCGCTGAGGTTCTCTGGGACTCTAACCCCAGCAAGAAATGTGTGAAGACAGATTTTACCAGACTGTGATCAAAGCTACTTAGACGTGACGAGACAGACACCGAGTAGCGGTCTAGATCAGTTGCCAGCAGAAGGTTTAAGCAGTTGGCTATGAGTGTATCAACATATGGCCTCATAGACCAGCTCAGCATAAACTTACGCATCTCCCTTGCAGCATAGTCAGTGCACTGGTATGGGAACAACCACTCCTGATGATGGGCATTAAAGTCCCCTACTAAAACCAACAGGGCCGAAGGGTATCTTTGCCGAGCTACATTTGCCGCCTCAACAAGGTGCGCTTCACCAATTGCGTTAACCTGGTCGATTCCAAATCTTCTGATACTTGGGTAACAGAGAAAAAATCGCTGGTAATGTTTGGTCACTACCTACCTAGAAAATGGGCCCTCTAAGTAGAATTAGACCAGGGCCCCACAGACACGATCCGCCCCTGTACGTACTTAATTTTGTTTAGGTATTATTTTCGAATTCCTATTGTTTTTCGATAATTTTCAGGGATAGTTCGGATCAGATACTTTACTCACATACCTATGTTTTATACATATACAATTCGTAGACAGTTTTATGGTTTGAATTTTATAATATGGGATAGTGAGTTAGGTACTTTTAATGTAATTTTAGGAGATTATTATTGTACTTTCATATGAATCGGACGTCTTGATTAACTTATTAGAAAATAAAATAAAATAATTACGATTGCAATATCGTGACCTAGATTAACAATTGCACATTAATACTGGACTAAACGTGCGTCATCGTGTAAAAGTGTGAATTGACAATGTTCTGTAATTGACAAGTGAATACTTTGCATCATGGAAAACAGCCCTTTTGCCCAGAGTAACCGGGTTGTGCGTTCTCCGCCTGGTACACCTGCATCTACATCTGCATCGACCTTACAACCACCGACCCAAAGTACCGATGCCCCTGAAGTTGTCGCGACGCCCGAGATCCAGAAGTGGCTAACGACAATCGACCAGGCCCTTACTGACATATGCAATATTGTCAGTGATGGCAAGATGAACTCGGAACAAAAGCTGCGAGTCAACGCCCTATGCAGGAGAGTGAGTAACGGGACTTCACAGATGGCAGTACTTTACCAATCCCTCAAAGCCAGAGCCCTACTTGCCCACCAAAGTGCTTGTAATCTTGAGAATCAATTAGACCTCTCCCTGCAGCTTAAAGACCTTCAACAGAGAATTGCTGAAACTCCTATACCTGCCCGAATAAACTCTTTCGCCGATATGGTAAAAAAAGGTGCGAATAATTTCATCCAGCCCTTAAAAGTAAGTTCTGTAGTCATTTATCCCAACGACAAAACTAAGACGAGTGATGAGACGAAAATACTGGTCCAAAAAATTATCCGCCCTGAAGAAATGAAATTACAAGTTAGAGGCCTCCACAAAACTAAAAACGGCGGCGTCATTATCAGTACCGAGTCAAAAGGCGATATAGTAAAATTAAGACAGTCAGCGCAACTTATAAGTTCAGGCCTAACTATCGATGAGCCGAAGAAAAGAAAGCCCAGGGTCGTCATCATAGGAGTGCCATCGGCTATGTCCGACGTCGACATGTTAACATGCTTATACCACCAAAATCTGGCAGACAAGTTGGAAAACTGCAGTCTTGACACTTTCTTGACGACAACAAGGTTAAGCCATAAATCAGGGAGGAGAGATGCTGAGACCTGCAATTATGTGATCGAAGTGACTGCAGTCATTCGAAAAGTCCTAATATCCCAGGACCGAGTCTTTATAAATTGGTCATCATGCCCTGTTCGCGACTTCACTCTGGTGACCAGGTGCTTCAAGTGCCATCAGTACGGACATGCTGCTAAATCATGTCGGCAGACCTCTCTTACTTGCGGACATTGTGGCGAACAGGATCATTCCATAAAAGATTGCCCAAAAAAGTCAGATGAGCCGAAATGTGCTACTTGCATTCACTTCAAGAAGCCCCACAATCACATGACTGGTGCTACTGAATGTCCTGCAAAAGTTATGGCCGAAAAAAGGTACATAAACTCGGTAGACTATGGAGACACGTAAAACCGCTTATAAAACGTTTATATATTACAGTTGCGCAATATATGCAGGTTGACGTACTCATCATCTAGTTGCTGTCTAAGCACATTATTGTAATTTGTACTAAAACAGCAAGTGTACGATTGTGGACTCTAACCTAGTTTATATCTCTACCGATGCAAATAATTCTTAGACTATAGTGATAAATAATATGTTTCTGTCTTACATAAATCATAATTTTAATTATCAGAGTATTGCATACCTAAGCTAACTACCTACACTATATTGTCATGTTACACTTAAGTTGTTTCACCTCTGCCTATCTCTTCCGGGAGCATAAGGCGTGAGGCTATGTATGTGTGTATGTATATTAAATAGTCATATTTTAGTTTGTCAGAATTATATCAAGTATTATGTTTGTAGAAAAAAGAATGTATTACAATAAAATTATAATTATGTTAGATCTACTCTCGCCTGTGACACAGGATTATCCTAGTACAGGCACCTAACCATATGAGATCTATTTTTCTTATCGAGGGAATATTTTTGTATCTGTGTCCATTTACATTTATGAATAAAGATTATTTATTTATTTATTTAATGTAGGTTTTTTTCTCTATGGTGTAAGGATTGATGTTTAATACAATGAGTCAAATAACAACACAAGAATATAATGATGACATTTATTTTAAAAAAAAATCATTTCGTGTGAGAAATTTCGATGTGAATACCCACTAGTGTTACATTAAACTCACAATATTTATATTTATAATTAATCACATAACTAGCACAGGCACACGAGTATGGACGCGCTATATAACGTCCACTTAGACATACCTACTTTATTCACATAATATAAATAATCTTAATTCATATAAACTTTATTTGTATATCTATAACTTAAATTATATATCTTACTCCGACATAACGGTTTCGAATCGTAGTAGTTTTTTTTTCATATTTTTCGTAAAACAATAAACTAATATTTTGTAATTAAAACCTTTGGATTTCTCGTCGAGCATAGTGACAGACTAATAATATAGTAAACAAGTATAAGCCCATTGACAAAGTCCTTAAACAATTTGGTCCAACATTTGAACGGGTTATATCAATAAGCTAATACTAGCCTTGCGCGTACTACCACCGGAATATTATCACCAAAATTAAATTCCAATACCCAATTCCATTTCTTAAGGTTATTTATAGGTACCTACATAGCTTTACATACATTTCTGACAACATATTGTACTATAATTTTCAATTTTTATAATAAATTGATGACAATTTAGACTCTTATTTGGCAAATTAGTTAGAAATTTTTAAGTAGTGTACGCGCAAGGTGGAGTTAGATTAAGGCACGATATATCGCCGGCGTGGTTCGCAGACGGTGTGTAACGCAGTCGTCTAGAAGTCGTAGGAGCCGCTGTCGCCTGCCTTGCCAATGCGGAAGATGAATTTGTACACGACACCAGCGACAATACCGCCAACGATAGGGCCCACCCAGTATACCTGTAGACAAAATGATACATTTATCATTGACACAATGCATATGACTACGTGATATAAATTTGTCGGTTACTACAACAGGGAGTATGGTGTGTATGCTATCTGTATGTCGCGGAGAACCTAACGGGTTACCGGAGCCCCGGCTCGAAGCGCAGGAGAAGGAACGGGCTGGTTTTTAGTCAGTAAGAGTCTGACACTCCCTCCCGCCTCACCCAGGCGGGAGGGAACAGTCATTAGATGGTTTTCCCCCTTAAAAAAATGCTATCTGTATGTAGCTATAGGCCACAAAAATACTTTAGTTAGAATCTGTAAAATGGTAATAATGCGAATAGCCTGCCTAATAAGTAAATTTTTGAGCTTTTGTATAGGTAGATAGTAGATAGAGGAACTATGACAGCAACCCGTAAGACATCCTAATTGCAGAAACTACAAACTGCGTCAATATGCCTTAAACTGTCAAACACCAAGCGGTCACCGGTGACCGCAACCTATTGTTCTATAATTGTGTCTACAAAACCGGTACTCGACGAGTTAATTACCTACTAAGCATTTAAACCATTTCACATGTCAAACATTTGTTTTACTTTGGCCTGTTTAGTCGAGAGTTAAAAAACAACAAAGAACATCGAAGTTTCTCTCCTCGCGTGGCTGATGAGGTCAGACTTTCTTCTGGTGCTCGTTTATTTTCATTGGGTACTAGTAATTTTTATGAATGTATCAACAATGGTTTTTTTTAAAGTCCATCTATATTGATTTATTATACAAATTCAACCCATACATGTCAAAGTTTTTCAAGTCGATATTACCGTTTAAGTTCATGAATGACGCCTAAAAGTATAGTGGTCCAGCAATAATGAGAAGTGGCATTCATAAAAAGAGATTTACAAAATAAATTGACTATAGCTTATTGAATCTATTAACTTCTAAATCTGATAGAAATGTGAAGAATTTCACTAACCTAGAATCTCTTGACATTCGATTCCTAGTAAGACGGCCTACAGCGGCTAACTTTAATTCACAAGTTATTTACGTACATAGTAACAAGTTTCAAAGTCATTGTCACGCAACTTAGCGTCAGTTATAGTACAACCGTGAACGAGTTAATTTCTATTACATAAATGTAGGAAGGGCAACGTAAGATATTACATAGCGAGTGTCAAGTCCGCTATTCTTTGAAATTATAAATTTAATAAGCCTACTAAAGATCGCCACCAGTTCGGAGCCCATTACGGGTCGCCATGATTGTAAGAGATGTGAAAAGCTCAAACAGATGTGTCCTAAATATTACTTATATGGTGATAGTTTTCTTATTTTCGGATATTTTTAAAAGGCGTTCTGTAGCATCGACGCAAACCCTTGGGTAGACGCGAACAGGCGAACTCAACCTATGTAAAAGTTTTCTTTTGTATCGTGACAACACTATTCGAGGCATAAACGCGTAAAACATTAACTAGTTCCAAATAAAGGAATAGGCACTTATTTTAAATAAAACGAATCTGGTTATACAGTAACCAGTGAAAATGAAAACAATATCGATTTCCCGGTACTAAACACTTATGAAATCATCTTATAACATAATATTATAGCAGTACCTACCCATTCTATAATGTCCACGTTATGTTTCTGATTCAAGTGTTCATATTATATGTCAGTCATCACTCACAGCTGATGGGCCCTCACTTCCTCACGTTAGGTAACCATGGCAACGTTTATTTTGTTTATACCATTATATTGCTGCTATAGAATCGTACGCATGTAAGGAAATTATATCTAAGTGCAATGTTCACGCTTACTTTCGCTAGTGAGAAGTGTAGCGTAAAATATTATGGTGTTAAATAAGTACCTACAGGGTATTGTATAACATCGCGCTTATTTTTTTTAAAGGGATTGATAGAGAGGTGTATTAAGTAATAAGTAATAATAAACCACCAAATGTTCTCCAATTAGTTTTGCTATTCACACAATATTAATGTATTAAAACTATAACTAAGTATATAACTTGATATTTTATCATCGTGATCTCATGATAAGTTCGTATTCACAAATTCGTCTTGTATCAAAAATATATCTGCGTGCTACGCGTAGGAAAATATATTATTTCATTTGAAAATACCTAGGTAATAAAATATCAATTTCGTCTGAAAATAATAAGTTTCTATAATAATAAGTGGCTGCCTCGTTGGCCGCGTGGTCGCAAGTGCGACTGCCGGGCAAGGGGTCTCGGGTTCGATTCACGGGTCGGGCAAAATATTTATGGGTTTTTAAAAAAATCTCAGTAGTAGCACAGAGTCTGGAATTGTGTCCGGTGTAGGTATGGCAATAGGCTCACTATTACATGGGACTCATAACATAAATAGTGAAAAGTGAGTGTTACATTGTACAGTGGCATAAACTACACCTCTGCCTACCCCTCCGCGGATGGTGTGATGTTATGTATGTACAATAATAAGTGTTAGGCTAAATTAATAAAAGAAATAAAAGGTTTATCTGGTGTTAAAAGCTAGATTACAAAATAAATCTTATTAAAACAAAGTCTAAATATGAATCTAAATATATAACCTGAACTAGGAACAAGCCTGTGTTTCAGGTTAGGTTAGGTTAGATTGTTACAGTATGATTCTATTTTTTTCATTATGTATAATTTGTGAATCCTTATAAATATGACTGTAGATCATAGACATAGTCTCCATTTAGTATGATTATTTTTTGGTCCCTTTTTTAATATTTATACCACATGTTACATCCTTCCATGATTGGCGTACTTCGTGGAATACAGATCTTTTGTCATGTACCTAGGTATTTTTTACGTTACGTAGATAACTACGTTTTTAAAATTCTATCGAATTTTAAAATTAGCGATAACTCGAACCCGAGACCCCTTGCCCGGCAGTCGCACTTGCGACCACGCGGCCAACGAGGCAGCCACTTATTATTATAGAAACTTATTATTTTCAGACGAAATTGATATTTTATTACCTAGGTATTTTCAAATGGAAAATTTCGATTGTTACCCCCACCACGGGGTCCGAACTGTGTATTATTTTGTAGTTGCATCTCTGTAAATGCAACTAACATTATATTCAAGAGCGAGAAGATAGAATGGCTAACTATTCAACTATCGAACCAGTCATTAATTACAATTACCTACTAATAAGCAAAGCTAGTTTCTAATTACAACTTTAAACAAACAAATCATCTTGGCCTTAAAATGTACTGACATTTAACTATACAAAACTCTATCAATCATTTATAAACAATAGTTAGTTTTAAACCACTAACTAACTAACTAACTGCACTTTCATTTTATCGAAAGCTTCGGAGTTAAAGCTTAACTTATTACCAACTTAGAAAGGTAGACATGTTCAATAAAACTTAATCAAGTTATAAAACGTCTTATAGGCCATGAATCATGTTATAACTTCTATATTGATCCTAAACTTGGGATTCTATAAGCAATTTTGACATTTATTGCATTGATATAAGAATGCTATTAACAAGAAAAGCGTTTTTGCAATACAGTTCGTCTATTTATTGCAGTAATTTATATCTTATGTAGAATGCAATAAAAGTTAAAATTGGCTGTAATGTAAATAGGATGTGTATGTGTGTGAGCACTCTATCGGATGTGAACTTGTTTCATAGGATGTAGCCGGCGCCTGCGCAGACGAAAGTGTACTCAATAGATACTTATATTATCATCATTATCTGTAATTCAATTAGTTGTAAAAGTGAAAGAAAGTTTTGGGACTTCCTCAATAGGTACGTTCTTTCGTTTTCGTTACGTTGTTTCGATTTAAGGAGACATGGGACCTATTTTTTATGGGAATGTAAGAATTAAACGAAGTGTAAACTTACCCAGTGTGAGGTCCAGGCTCCCATGATGAGGGCAGGGCCGAAGGAACGAGCGGGGTTCATGCTGGAGCCGGTGAATGGAATCTGTAGGAAAATGCGTAGCATTAATAAATATAGTATATATATCATTAAATTAAGATGTTTATCTGTACCATGACCAATTTCTTATAATGAATAAAGATTTATTTATAAAGCTTTATTATAAAGATTTATTATCAATAATAAATAGGTAAATACTATGGTAATGATATATGGTAAATGTATCTACTAAGTTAACAACATAGGTATCTTTTAACTGACTTCTAAGAATAGAAGGTTTTTAGTTCAACCTGTATATGTTTGTGCGCGAATGTCTCGCGATTGGATGATCCGATTTTGATGCGGTTTTAGAAAAGTGTTTGTTAGGCACCTACACTTTTTTTTCTTAAAATAAAAGTTGCCCCACACTAGGGTTTTCTCCTGTGTCGTGGGTGCGTTTACGAACATACAAGTTCACATACACACGTCATGACACCCAGACTCGAAACAACAATTTGTGGATCAGACAAAGTGTTGTTCCGTGAGGAAATCGAACCCCCGACACGTTGCACGGCAGCCGGTTGCCCAGCCACCACACCAACCGTGCAGTCAAAAGCTCTTAAGAGATGGTTTTCGTATTAATTAACCGAGAGCGATTGAAGTCGTTTTTTTAACGTGAATTATAAAAGAATTATTTACTTCGCAGATAGCCGGACAAGAAAAACAGTTTTGACCTATATTAGGACATCTCTATATTAGGTAGGTACTAGAGAAAACATTTCCCATCTAGGTACTAGTTATGTCCAAAGGGTGCACTTAATAGTCTTCTACTGAAAACGGCATGCAAACAGTAAAGCTTTGAATACTAACGCAAGCTGCATGGCAGGCGGTGATGCTGAGACCGATGGCGAGGGGCGCGGACCCCTTGATGTCGTTGCGGCGCGCGTCACACACGCCGTGCACAACCAGTACCAGCAGGAATGTGATCAACGCTTCGATGAGGACACCCTGCGGACGAAATACAATATTATTTGTTATGCCAATGTCTTCCTTTGTATGGGAATCAACACTAGATATTACCTTTTTTATTGTAAGCAAAAATTTTGTACGTATTTGATAGGTTGCATTTTGTTAAAAGGTATAATGGGGTTGGCATATCAAAGATAAAACCCCTTGATAAAAAACTGATAGCATTGTAATATAATGAAATCCCTCATTATTAGTGCTATGCATAACTTACATTTACTGGTCTCCAAAGTAAACGTAAAAAGAAATCAGACCAGAAAATAATTGTCAGTAATAAAGATATTACTGATTTTCTTTCTAGGTTTGGGATTGGTTCTTCCAATCCCAAACCTAGGAACTTAATTAGTTTTAAAATAAATAGATATGTCGTCACTTGAATTAATGAAACAAGATCTCACCTGTCCCTCGGTAACGTTGGGTCCGAGTGTCGTCATACCGAACCCACCGACCTGTGCCTCGGGTATCGCCAACTGCAACACAATTAATTAATTAATTCTTCCAATTTAATTGCCGATTAAACACTCATTTACATAAAAAACGGCGCCTCTCGATGTCAAGGAATAATTTAAAACCATCATAAGAAAGATCTACTCGGAAATTTCATTAGATTAAAATAGATAAATAAAAATTAAGTAGGTACCTATCTAATGTTGTCGTTGTCAACGGGAACTTATGCATTTTTATTGACCATTAAAAGTAACTGTAGTATGCTACGATTGCTTAATTTCAAGTTAGTTGGTCATCTAGTATACAGGTTAACTGCAACATTCTTGATGCGCACTTGACCAGGTTCTCAAAGGTCTTCCATCTGGTTCACCCTTTAACTCCATATCGCGTATTCAGTATGAATCCAGTGCATTTTTATTTATATAGACAACAGCGAGATGTTTAAAAATAGCACTGTTCATCTTATACTTATTTATACTACTTATTACATGGAGTGGAAGAGTTTGTTTTTTTGTTTGTTTGAACGCGCTAATCTCCGTAACTACAAGTCTGATTTAAATATTTTTTTTTTGTTTTGGATAGCGCATTTATTGAGGATGGCTGTAGGCTGTAAAACATCACGCTACGACCAATAGGAGCTGAGCAGAGCATGTAAACCGCGCGGAAGTAGCTAGCTATACATACAATTAAATTGAATGTTTCGATTCTATATCTGTATTCATGAGAAAATTCTAGCATAAGAAAATTTAATGAAAATATCCATAATTACTTCAAATGCTAATTAAAAGTCGTGCAAGTCGTGATCATCCTTGCTTGCTCATTAGAGTGAGTGTCAGAGAAATGTCACAAGAAGGCCGTTGTAGTGTGAATGGATTTAACCACTTACATAAGTAATAAACTATATTGAGGTGTTAACACTAATATCACGAATATATACTTAAAAATAATATCACGCCTTTTATCCCCAATAGGTAGGCAGAGGTGTACATTAGGCACTTAATGCCACTGTACAATGTAACACCCACTTTTCACTACTTATGTTATGAGTCCCATGTTATAGGGGGTGAGCCTATTGCCATGCCGGACACAATTCCAGACTCATCGAGCTATATATTTTTTTAAACTCAGTAGTTCTTTGCCCGGCCCGGGAATCGAACCCGAGACCTCTTGCCCAGCAGTCGCACTTGCGACCACTCGGCCAACGAGGGAGTTTTAGTTACCTACTTAAAGCATGATAAGAAAATTCATTGGTTAGCGCTGGTGTGGTTTTAGAGGTATTTTTTTTAATTTTCTTAGTTCACTTCAAATCCACATTATGGCTATTTGGTATTTCTTATTGAAGAATCATAAGTACTGGACATCTCACAGACAGTCGGTTATCGAACATCTTTTGTATGTACCATTTAAATGAAGTAATTATGTATTTGTAATTGCAAAATCTTCCTGTCAAGTGATGCAAACTAACCTTCGTTTTGATCCCTCAATTTTGATATTGTTTTTATTGCAATCTCTAGCGAATGTGATATATGACCTATTCAATTTAAGTACTTTTTGTATACATTCATTATGATGGTATTGTATGGGTATTTTAAAAATCCTGCGTCAATGTCGTAAAGTAAATCGCTGAATTAAGAACTAACTTGAAGTATATCGCCATATATCAAACTCATGACCTTTTCAAGTACTCATATCCGAAAAGCTTTATAGCAACGTTCAATTAGTTCCACGATTACACTGAAGGTCGCTCCACTTGTTTCTTTATTCTAAGATCATCAGTGTCACGGTGAACGAGACAGTTTTTTACTAAGCGTTCATATAAGGCGATTAGAATGTCGGTACGATGACTAGCTGTATATGTGTAATTACGAGAAATTGTTTGTTTATCTGTTTGTTTGTTTGCTTTTTGGACAAGTTCTAGAAGGACTGATTGATAACTATTTATAGATAAAAGAAAACGAAGGCATCAAAGCTCTACAGCTTATTTAAAAGGACATAAGTAATTATGAAGGTGAAGTAACAAATGATTAGACACAACCTCCCAATAACTTTAACCGCTACACAAAACGCTGTAAGCTTCAAAGAAATAGACAGCATAACACCTTGCTTCCAACCTCTTTACAAGGATACGTTACACAGGTTTCCTCACAAAGTTCACCCAGATTATCAACCAAGATAAACCAAACCATAGAAATCAATCAAAAATCTCATTTTATGGACAGGCATATGTTGACCTGGGTACGTCGTACCTTCGTACTTGTAAACTAGCATCATCATATCAAAAAAATCAGCGTAACGTTCGATCAAAGTTTAAATAGACATGTAACCTTGTATTAACTGTAACTCGTTATAGGAATATTCAATTAAAATGTAACTCGACTTCATTAACGGATTGCTTGTCAAATATTCATACAGTTCATTGCTAATACCCGATGTGTGTTACCTAATTGTAGATGTATTTATTATTAAGATCTAAATCGAATCATGCACATCATGATCGCTACCTAATTAACTCATTACAGTCAAGAACTTTTGGTTCTGCGTTTAATATAATTATTAATTTAGTTACTTCATTATTATGTTTGCATGTGGAATTAATAAGTAGGTATCTATTTGGGTTGTTCGTGTTCGGTTTTTAGGTGATCTAAAATACATCACATGAATCTTGGATCAAGTTTAAATAAAGATATTTTCGTTCAAGATGCTTTGTATTACCTACAAACACAGGTCTTTTTTTTAAAGTGGGAAAATCATCGAATGACTGCTCCCACCTTGTTGAGGCGGTCAGGGAGTGTCAGACTCTTACTGACTAAAAACCACCCCGTTCCTTCTCCTGCATGTCGAGCCGGAGCCCCGGCAACCCGTTAGGTTCTCCGCGACTCCGTATTGTTATTTTATGCGTTGGCGCATCTACATTTTAATTTGTTAGTTAGTATACTGTACGAATGTAAAGTTATAGTAGACTTTTTATCCAATAAAAGTTACTTTACACTACACTAATCAGACTGGTTTTCTAAAATCACATAAATTCCCATTGACTGAAAAATTCACTAAAGTAATCGAACTAATATAACCTGCATTTGAAATTTATAATTTTCCATGTTCATAAACCACTTACCCTGATGAAAGCAGCTCCAGCAATAGCACCGAGGGTTTGGACGATAATGTAGCAGATTGCCTTCAGGACCTTGATCTCACCAGAAGCGAACAGACCCAGCGTCACCGCGGGGTTAATGTGACCTCCCGACACATGGCCGATAGCCTGAGGACAAAAATAAGTCATGTTTAATAAAAAAAAACATATCAACATAATATTTTATTACTTTACAATGATGTTTAAAACCAATATATTTATTTCCTTACTTAAATTCAATTAAGAAAAAAAAAAAATTATCCTATGACTTTTTTTTTACTTTTACCGCCTAAAAAAGTAATTTTATAGAAGGTCCAATGCGCACAGATGATAAATATTTATTTCGTTAAATTCACTCTATGGGGCTATTCGAAATTCAAACAAATAGTTGGAATTATAGTTTTTTTACCAGCAGCCAGTTCTTTTTCTTTTTGTGTGAAGCAAAGGAAACACTAATTCTGCCTACTTTTTTGTTTAATTTATAAATTACATACAAATTTAATTTGACTGCCTCGTTGGCCGAGTGGTCGTAAGTGCGACTGCCGGGCTAGGGGTCTCGGGTTCGATTCCCGGGTCGGGCAAAGACTTACTGGGTTTTTTCAAATATTCTCAGTAGTAGCACGGAGTCTGGAATTGTGCCCGGTATATGGCAATAGGCTCACCCCCTATTACATGGGACTCATAACATAAATAGTGAAAAGTGGGTGTTACATTGTACAGTGGTTTAATGTGCACCCCTGCCTACCCCTTAGGGGATAAAAGGCGTGATGTTATGTATGTTAAATTTAATTTGATATATTTGCACCTTTCATGTAGCTTCTTTATTGAAAAAGGACGCCAACCTTTATTAAATGATATGATATTTGTTAAATCGCATATCAAAATGATCTAGTATCGACACTAACCCTTTAATGAATATGTATTACCGGCGTACGACAGGTATATTAGCTAATATAATTTACAGCTCACGCGCCGATCTTTGATATAATTTAAACTTCAAAGGGCAAATCCACGTAGTACATGGGTAAAATGTTACCAAGTAAAATAATAATAGAGGATAAGTACATCTTTAATATTAAAAAATAAATCTTTGTAAAATTAATGAACTTATTAATTAGCCGTTATTTTTTGTCTAAGGAAAAGTAAAAGAGAAACGTTTCATGAACTACAATGATAACAAAGTCAGCATTTTCACTACAAAAACATGACGTCAATTAATTTTCTATGTGATGTTAAATAGACGTATCAGCCAACTAAACATACCTACCTACTATCGTATTATACTTAAATCTCAATTTATCTGCAGTAACGAACTTAAATTGTAATTGGATGTATTGCCTGGTAATCGGCGAACATCTGAACACTGTGAAGTGGCTTTATTGTTTTATAATTGTGCCTTTATACTGTCATTAGATTGGTACCATGTTGCGATGTAGATTGCGTCTGCTTTATCACGCTTTTCGGATATTCTGCCTTTGGTATTTCGTTTCGGTATTCCTTGATCTTCTAAAGTTTTCGAAGTGATTGGAAGATATGCACTAAAGCTCTTTTTACTTTTCAATCGACGTCCAATAGGTTATTGTTGCGTTTTTTTAAAAGTGTTTTCAGTAAAGACTTGGTGAAAGAAAACCAATACTTTGTAGTACTACAGGATGGTTTACTTTTATTTAGTAATAAGTAGGTCCTTGATTTTTTTTTTAATTCTCTCATCAACAAACAAACACACGTCTACTTCTATCTCTTATACTACATAGGTCTTGACAACATAATTTATAGGTATGACAAAAACATCACTCGACAGACTATGTAGTAGGTACAGTTCTCATCATTCATAATAAATTGCTAGTTTATATCATTCGTGAGCTAATCGTTGAGCATCAAACGGTTTAATACCAAAGTCGTTAATACCCTCGCGTGAGGGAGCCCACACTGAATCATCCGTTGCACTATGACGTCACAGGTCAACTCTATATATTTATTAGCAATTAACATTTTTACACACACATTATGTCATAAGTGCGCATTCTATGTAGGTCAGGGTAATGCGAGAATTCAATTAGTGCAATTAACTTCATTTTTTGCAAATATATCGCTTCTTCTATAAATACGAAGTTTGTGCGAAGGTCTATAAGTAGTTATTGATCTATTTATTCCACATTTGAAATATTTTTTTATTTGGTTATTTGATACTTTGTATTTTCGACCCGGGACTTGATGTTTTTGTCAAGCTTAGCCAAAATTATACATTTTGGCTAAGCTAAGCTAAGCGTGTCCCTTCGTCCAGCATACTCACCATGGAATCCTGATATTTCATGAATGTCAAAAAACTGTTCTGAAATAGTGCTAAATAGTGCCCAAAGGAAAAAAATAGTGCTCTTGTACTTGCGAAGTTATAGCCATAGTTCGATGAGTATGCTGGACGAA